AAAAAAAATTAACTCTAGAATCCAACTTCATATGCAACTTTTGATAACATTTGATGAGTATCTTTTCTTATCATTCCTTTTCTAAAGTACCAATAACCAAAGCTTCAATTTCTTGACCTCGACAAAATGGGCTGAATATATTTACCCCCTTGGAATTAGCATCAGGTTAAAATGGGACAACGATAAAGTACTCACATTCTGCATGGGCTATAGTAGGCACCTAATAACACAAAGTAAACTGTCTTCTTTCATTGTATAGTTTAGGTTCTGGGGAAAAACAAAGTGCAGTCACGACAAAAAAATATGGGGTAGGACAGTGCTTCGCTCAGCTCTAAAGTAGGAACAGCATTTAGCTATGTCTATGCCAGTCCTGATTGCATTGTCTTAAATCTCGATGCAGAATTTATATTCTACGCTTTCATCTGTTACCCCCATGCCGCCACTGACATTAGTGACATCGAACATTCACTAACACTCTTTATGAATCCAAAAGTTTTCATGTTGATGACAACTTTTTAAAAATAAAATGACTTTAAGAATAGACTATTGTAAGAGAAAGACAGAAAGTTGTGAGAGGAAGGCAAAGGGCATCGCTGTTAATGAGAATGTTCTGGCAAATTCTTTCAACCTGAATAAAAATTTAGTGATCTCAAACAATCTAAATGCTGAAGAGGCAGTTGGGGAGAGGGAGTGATGGATACCATATCCCAACCTCAATGAGTCACTGGTAATGCGATCTCGGACTGCCCATGTTCTGGCCTTGCACTGACCTTTCTTACTCAGTGACACGCAGAACGGTGCTTGGAACCTTACAATGGAACTGTCATATAATTAAGTTAAAAAACAATTTGCAGTGGTTACCAAAGGGTAAGGAAGGAAGGAGGGATGGTAGAAGAGGGTAAAGGGGGTCAAATAGATAGTGATGGAAGGAGAATTGACTCTGGGTGGTGAACACACAATGCAATATATAGATGATGTATTACAGAATTGTACACTTGAAACCTATGTAATTTTACTAACCATTGCCACCCCAAAAATTTTAATATATTAAAAAAAAACAATCTGTAAAAGGCAACAAAAGCAAAAATAAATAAGTGGGATTACATTAAACTAAAAAGCTTCAGGGCCGGCTGAATGGCGCATTGGTTAAGAGTTGGCTTGGGATGCCAGAGGTCCCCGGTTCGAATCCCACATATGAGGACCAGTGACACTGCCCTCTACAGCTAAGATGCTGAACAACAGCTCAACCTAGAGCAGGGCTCCCGTGAGTCGCCGGCGACGGGTGTAGGCTGCAGTGGGTTGCCATGGGCTACCATGTGTAGCCAGCGGCGAGCGTGAGCGGCCAGCAGCCTCAGTGAGCAGCCATCCAGAAGCCAGCGACTGATCTGTCTCGCCTGGGAAGAGTGCAATGATGGTGCCAAGTTGGGCCAGTGAAGCAACGTCCTCCACAACTAGTCTGAAGAACAAAACGACAGCAACTTGTCTGTTCCCCTTCCCCCAATTCCCCAATAAAAATCTTTAAAAAAAAACAAAACTAAAAAGCTTCAGCAAAGCAAAGAAAACCATCAACAAAATGAGAGGCAATCTATGAATGGAGAAAATATTTGGAAATCGTGTATCTGATAAGGGGTTAATAGCCAAAATATATAAAGAACTCATACAACTCAACGGAAGAAACAAATTCAATTGCAAAATGGGCAGAGGATCTGAATAGAGATTTCTCCAAAGAGGACATACCAATGGCCAATAGGTGCATGAAAAGATGCTCAATATCACTTATCAACAGAGAAATGCAAATCAAAACCACTACCAGATATCACCTCACACCTGTCAGAATGGCTATTATCAAAAAGACAAGAGATAACAAGCATTGGCGAGTATGTGGAGAAAAGGGAACCCTTTTGCACAGTTGGTGGGAATGAAAATCGGTGCATTCACTATAGAAAACAGTATATAGGTTCCTCAAAAAAGTGAAAATAGAACCAACCTATGATCCAGCAATTCCACTTCTAGGTATTTATCGGAAGAAAATGAAATCATTATCTCCAAAATATATCTGCACTCCCATGTTCATTGCAACATTATTTACAATAGCCAAGACAATGGAAGCATCCCAAGTGTATACTGATGGATGAATGGATACAGAAAATGTGATATAGATATCTACAGATAGAGAAGTAAAGGGAGAAGGGGTTATAAGTTAAAAATTTGAATAAGGAAAATGAGAAATAGCAAACAGATGGAAATTATGGACAATTTTAAGAGGTTGAATTGCTCATTAATATCAGATCACAGTAATGTTAAATTCACAGAATTAACTGTCTCAGTGTTTTAAAAACATCTGTAGCAGACCTTGCTCAAAATTAATTCTTTTAACGCTATCTAGAATTTTTAATGGTAGGGGGAGTAATATGTTCATTCATCACCAATGTTTAGCTTTCACGTCTCTCTTGAAAAATGAAATGGTTCAAAGCCTCTTTTTTTTTAAGGGTTTTATTGGGGAACAGTGTGTTTTTCCAGGACCCATCAGCTCCAAGTCAAGTAGTTGTTTCAATCTAGTTGTGGAGGGCGCAGCTCCATGGCCCATGTGGGGATCGAACCGGCAACCTTGGTGTTATGAGCCTGCACTCTAACCACCTGAACTAACTGGCCACCCCTCAAAGCCTCTTTATCATCTAAAAATAACTTTTGCAAACCATTACTTTGGCTCCTCTAAAATTCTACACAGCAGAAGTCTTAAAGTTTCTTGATTATAGAAAAAAAAATGAAGCCACACAGAGCCAAATGTTAAAAGTCGTAATAACTTGGTGGATCAATCGCATAGTTAAGTATTCCTGGATTAGAGAAAGGAGAAACGTTAATATTTGGCAAAAATAAATGAGAAAAGAGATCATGGATAAGAAGGCTGAACTTGAAAAACAATTCAATTTTGAATATGTACTAAAAGTCCATTTTCAAGTGTAAGTAAAGGCCATGCTATTACAATATTTCCTGGGGGACTGAGGGGAGAGAAGGCGAGAAGGGAAGAAACCATTACAAAGACAGCTCTAATCAGGCAAGAACAGCAGCAAAGCAGTAAGAGAACCTTACAGGGAGGTAAATACAATCAGGTTTTTTTGCTAGTCATGAAACCACAGAATACGTTGGCTTTAATAATTACATAACTTTATTTTACTCCTAAAGATAGCAATGCCAAAAGGCAAAACTACCTTATCAATAATTTTTAATAAAAGCATCTTTAGTATTTATTAAATTTTAATAAATTATCATCAAAATAAGACATTGAGATTGAAGTTGTGATCAAAATGATTCTGTTTATGATGCTGGAAGAATATTTAAATACAATAAACTACAAAATAAGGATGTGAGTGATACAAACTATTTAATGGTAAATATTATGTAAGAAGGCTGAGACGTCTGAGAAAATGACCAAAATAAAAAAGCGTAAGTAAAAATAAAATACTAGTATTATTTTACATAGTACTTTACATTTAAAACACTTTCAGATCGTCTCCAATTTAAGCAATTGACAAAACTAAGTTCTGAAATAAGATGCTCTCATACACTCATTCTCACTTAACGGTGAAGTCTGTAAGGGCTAAATAAATGACAAAATGAAAGGAAAATTCAACTAATAGGTAAAAGAAAATTAATTTGAAAATGTTTAAAATGGAAGAGTTTCTCAGGCTTCATGACTAGCGACCACTTTTTTGGTTTTTTTAAATTGGGGAATTGGGGAGGGGGACCAGCCAAGTTGTTGTTCTTCAATCTTAGTTGTGGAGGGTGCCCGTCGCCATCTGGCTGCCCATCGGCAGCTCGTGGCCTCTAAGCTCAAGGTGCTGTGTTACAATCCTAGTTGTGTGTGGGCATAGCCACCATCCAATGTGGGAGTCCAATCGGCAGCCTTGTTGTTAAGAGCCCGCACGCTATCCACTGAGCCATCTGGGCGGCAGCTCAGCTCAAAGTGCTGAACTCACTCTTAGTTGTGGGTGGGCGTAGCTCACAATTGAACAGGCAATCTTGTTGTTAGGAGCACATGCTCTCACCAGCTGAGCCATCCTGCCACCTGTTGGCAGCTCATGGCCTCTAAGCTCAAGGTGCTGTGTTCAATCTTAGTTGCGGGTGGGCATAGCCACCATCCAATGTGGGAGTCCAATCGGCAGCCTTGTTGTTAAGAGCCCGCACGCTATCCACTGAGCCATCTCGGCGGCAGCTCAGCTCAAAGTGCTGAACTCACTCTTAGTTGTGGGTGGGCGTAGCTCATAATTGAACAGGCAATCTTGTTGTTAGGAGCACATGCTCTCACCAGCTGAGCCATCCTGCCACCTGTTGGCAGCTCAGCGGCAGCTCAGCTCAGGTGCTGCACCACTGTCCCATGTGGGAATCAAACTGGCGGCCCTGGTGCACAGAGCTCACGCTCTTAAGCTAACTCTTAACCAACTGACCCACTCAGCCGGCCTAGCAACCACTTTTTAATAGCCTAAATTTGAAATAACAACTTTTAAGTTGCTTTAATGCTTTCCTATATAATTTTGGTAAAGTATATCACATATAAAAATAGGATTCTGATAAAACCAAATCTCTCTTCTAACTTTATTCACTGATCCTGTGGAAATGACCTTAAAAATAAGGTGAAAGGAAAAAATGCATGGAAAAGGTTTTACTTATTAATTTTAGTTCCTATGCTCTGATTTATGGATGAAATCAAATTAACAAATTTTCACTGAGCCATAGCTGGCAGCCAAGTGACCATACAATTAGCCTCAGCATTTCTTTGTTCTTGGCTTGGTGTATCAAATTGATTCAGCACAGGTATTTCTGAGATAAGGCAT